AAAAAAAAAAAAACACACACACACATAAATAATTATACAGCTCTCCACGCTAACAGCACACACATGATAGTTACAACCAAAAATGCAAACGGCATGACCCCGAAACTAACGCGACGCAACCCACTAACTGCTACTCAACAACCGCATGGCCAAAATAACTAAACAAATTAAACAATCACAAAAAAAAATAAAAATAAAAATAAATAAATAAAAATAAAATTAAAAATGAGAAAAATTCAAAAACTGGAAATAGGAAGCAGACGGACCTGATGTCCGAAGCAAATGCCGAGGACTCTCTTCTTCATGGCGTCCAACCGCTTGAGCAGGACGAGGAGCTTGCAGATCCACAGATCGCCGCCGTGGGCGTCGCTGCAGCTGCCGGTGATGACGAATCCGTCGTAGGCGGCGATCTCTCCGTCCGCCGGAAACACGCCGCGCGCCACCGGAAAGACGTCCCACTCCTCGCCCTCCTCCCTCAGCATTCGCACGAAAACCCCGAAGTAGCCGCCGTAGGCCTTCTTCACGTAGTCGGAGTCCTCGGCGCACAGGAGCACGGCGAACTTCCGGCCGCCCATTCTCTCTCTCTATGTATGTGTGTGCTGGCGCGCGTGTAGAGAGACAGAAAGGGCATTTATGAAAATGGGTTCGATCTCCGAGTTTAATGGGGGCCATTTATATTGATGGATGATAGTGAATTTTACATTTCTACCCTCGGATTACTGTTGGCTTTATTTTATGGGTTAATTGCTAAATAAACATTAATATTTTTGTGTTTGGCAATTTTATATCAATTTTTGGGTAATTGCAATATAATCTCGATCTCAATTTACTTATTGCAAGTCGAACTTAAAACCGTTTGGACCTTCAAAAAGCTGGTCGATTTGAAGGTGGTTCGAACATATCGGAGCTCATATTTACCAGTTAACGCCAGATCTAAGAGGAGACTTATCACTGGTAGCTTACATTGACGTGGAATTTTCGGCTTTGTGTTGGATATACATTAAATACGTGGAAATTGTCAACTTGCTACGTGGATGACCTAAAACCCGTGTCAACGGAAGACATGGACACAAAATCGATCCAAAAATCCTTAAAATCAATCACTCTGCACCCAAATTTGCAATAAGTAAATTGAGGTCGAGATTATATTACAATTACCTAAAAATTGGAATAAAATTGTTAAACGCAAAAAGATTAAGGTTTATCTAGAAATTAACCCTTATTTTATTTTGATTTTTCAAGTTTTTGTTTTGACAACTAAGAGCACGCCCCAAATTGCTATTTTAGTGTTGATGAGTAATGACTCATAGTATGTACTATGTAGTATAGATAAATAAAAATATGGTTATAACTTCCAAGATAGTGAAAATTATATGTCTAGATTATGTGTGTGATCGGGAGTCTATATAGGGAGATGCTACGGTCTCGTTATGAAACTATTCCGTCAGAGTTTGTAATCGTTAGATCATCACGTAACTGTCGGGGATAGTTGATCTAACGGTCACAAACCCCGACGGAATGATTTTGTAACGGAACCGTAGCATTTTCCGTCTATATAACTGTTAGCTTGATTATGCCTAGTGACACCGTGATTAAATAACCAGGGAAAATGGTTAAGGCTACGTTTTATATTAGCAAATGAGCTAGCTTATAGCTTGTTTATAGCTGAAAAACTAGCTTATATGATAAAAGTGTTTGATAAAAATTAGCTATTTAAAAAAACTTATGAGATAAGCTCGAGCTTTTTTAAAGAAGTTTGTCCTACAAACGAAGCTTATTTAAATGTACGAATTTTATAATAAACTAACAAAATAAGCTATAAACTAACTTATTTAGCTACCAAATATAGCATATAATATTTGAAACCAATGCTTTAAACATTGTATGCCAATTATATTGGATATAGATAAGCTACTGGTATGTAGTTTAAAGGTTTTACTGCCTATATGCTAACATATATTAATTAAATTTATTATTATAATAATTTAAATAAGGCATAAAACCAACTTTAATTATATTAAAATTGATTACAATTTAATAACAATGAAAATTATATTAAATTTAAGTGTAGAAATTTTATTTTATATGAATAAGCATGATAAGAATGTTGAAAACACTAGAAAAATATTGGGTATTTAACTGGCATTTTAATCAGTATTTTCATATAGTAAAACTGGCATGTTAATGAGAAAAAATAAAAAATTGTTTGTTCTTTGCCATTTGTTGGTGACATAAAATAATAATAATAATAATAATAAAAACAAAAAGAAACATACTTATAAGGAGATGAATCATGAATCATCGTTCCTAGTGCTTGCCTCAAATGACTCAGATAAAATAATTAATATAGCTCCCGAAGTGCATGGAATCATTTTTTAATTGTATTTATATGTGCAAATACTTGACTCGGTTGTGCACGCACAGCCGGCCTTAGTTCAATCTATAATTATATTTAATAAATGTGAAACTTTGAAAACATAGTTACTCATATTTTATGGCATTAATAAATTTACCTGAAAACATAGTTACCCATATTTTATGGCATTAATAAATTTACCTGTCAAATTACCATTTATAAATTTACCTTCAAATAATTTGACATCAATCCATAAGAAATCAAGTTGAAGTAAGTTTATTAAGTTTTATATTAATTAACAAAAGCGTTAATATTTTTTTTTAACATAATATTGAAGAAAGCGTGTTAAAAACTAAAATATAAATAGTCACTTCATAATACACTTTGTAACTATAAAATGGCTATAATGATGTTTTACATGAATTCATATTGAGTAACTTAGTTATGATGATTTTAGATTTGCTACAACTTTATTGCTCGCCTTAAATACTGTTGGTGTTAAAAAAAATTAGATACTATTAGGCAGAAATTGTTAAATATTTTTGCAGTATGTTTAAGGTAATTTAGATATATAAATATTTCCCCGTGAGTTCTTTATTTTGATATACAGAGCCATTATAGTTTGCATGTAACATGTGGCACTTAGTGCGATAACCTTTATTTTATAATTCTTAGCATCAACAGACCATTAGTACTCACAATTAGCAAAAGAAAGCATGAACATTCTATTAACAAGGGTTGTGGCGTCGGAGTACATCGCAAAACGTCATCTTAATACTATATGGATGGCGAAAATTGTGGGCGACATTCTACTACAACTCCAAGACAGTAGTAGTTAGAGTCTTATAAGGCAATCTAGAATGTCCACAAAAGGCAGCTGGCAATACAATCTAAGAGCAATAACTGATAGGTGTGCACGAAGCATATCTTATAACACAACTAAAGCACATTTTTCACCAAAAGTATGTACAATTTCAGCAAGTCCTGCTAGGCATGCTTAGTTGCGAGGCCTCTTGAGCAAGCTTGATGGGACCGCTGAAGTGCTTACACTGCCAGCATCGCTACAAGATGCATGGTCGCCGGTGGTGTCTATTGGAGGATTTGAGGAGGAAGTAGCAGTGTCATCTCCAAATGCCAAGTTGTTTGTTGCATCTGGATTTGAGGGACCTGGTATCTCAGACTCTCAATTCATGGCGCCGCTTGCAATTTCTTCTAAGTATGCCCTGGTGCTTAGTGCAAATAAGTGGATATTTAACATGACGTAAAAGATTTCAAAATATGAGATTATGAGTTACCTGTGCAGCTGAATCGTCAATGTCATCCTCATCCACGAAGTCTTCAATTTCGTCCATGTACAACTTCACAACTGAGTAGGTTGTGCCGTTGGCTTGGGCTACAATTATGAAATATTGATTTTTTTTTGTTCGTTGCTAAAAATATGTCTAATATTAACATATATTTGGCTGACTTGAAGAGTACACATACATAAATTTGCCAACATTTTTAAAAGTATATTAAAATTAATTTATATGAATCCATCATAACGATAATGATAGGAGTTCCCACAACATGATAAAATATCTAACAATCACGGAAAACATCAAAAGAAAATATTTGGTTCACCATAAAATCCTAAAAGTCTCATTCTAAAGCAAACGATTATCATTGATACGGATTGGCTCTGCAGCACAGACAACCCGAGCACACCCTTAATCCAGCCCACGAACTCCTCGGCCTCCTCCAGCTACCTCTTAATTATCTATCCATATATATTTAAAAAATGCTAACACAACAAATTTACAGACATGTCAAATTTAAGAAGCAGTAACAACCACTTAGCAAAAGAAATAAGCCTTTTCAGTTCAGTGCCTTTATAAGAAAAATATCCAAACCAAGCATTTGTATACATAGCTTTTGGGAAAAAAATAAAAATAAAAATAACACACACGCACACTCCCTAAAGGATGAAGAAAAAATTTAAAATTCTCAATGCATACCCGACATAATTTAACAATGTGTGAAATAAATAACAAATATAAGTGATTAACACACCCTTTTCTATAAAATAAAAAATTTAGGAGATGAAAGAAAAGAAAGAGTCTTATACAATTATCCCTGCATGTACAAATAGGTAGATGTCATTGTATCATTCCTGCAAAAGCAAGAACCACAAAAAGATCAATCTTAATACAACTTCTCTTGTTTTATTATACTTGCATATTGGAAAAATGGGGAAAAATTCAAAACTAGTCCCACAGGTATAGGGGTGACATTTTTGGTCCCAACGGAATTCAAAAAAAATATTAGAGCATGATTGGATACAAAAATTTCTCAAAAAAATTCAAACATTTTTAACTCAACCACTTTTTTAACTCAACTTTAACTCAACCCACTATCATCAATATTATCAATATAATTAAATAATATCAATCAATCATTTTTACACATAACATCAACCTTAATTCACTATTCATCTACTCACATAAATTTAACTAACTATCACATCACATTTTCTCTCTCTTACTTTTACATCAATTTAATTTTAATTATTTTATTTTAAATAGGGAAAAAAAACCTTTTTCTCATCTGAACTTTCGCGAAAATGGCGCATCACCATATGAACTTTATTTTTTTGCAAACCACCCTCTAAACTACACGGGTTTGTCAAAATACCCCCCACACCACCTTTAAGTCCGGTTTCACCTGTTAGAATCTGGTTTTAAACACAATATAAATAGCCCAATGCCGGTCATTTGCTGGAGCAATTTTCCCCAAAATCGTCCAATTTTCCCCTCTTTCATCTAGGGTTTATCATCTCCGAACAATTTAATGTTCCGGCAAATTTCCGAGGAGCTAATCGATGACTTCTGCCGGTGTGGGAAGCCTACTGTGCGAAAGACGTCATGGGCCGATGGTAATGCGGGGCGTAGGTACTCGGCCTGTGAGAAATACCGGGTGAATGCACTCAATTTCTTCTCTTGATTTCAATTTTCTAGTTTAATTCAATTGCTAGTTTAATTTCCCATATTTTTTCGACATTTATGTTTGTGAAATCGCCAGATTTTTTTTTTAATTTTGTTTTCCTTTTTTCGAATTGCAGATGTTGGGTGGGTGTACATACCATGTTTGGGTTGACCCTCCAATGTGTTATAGAGCACAACAACTCATTCCTGGGCTTCTGAAACGGGCCAAAAAATTGGAAGAAGAAATTGCAAGAAG